GCACTTGGGGTGAAACAAGAAACCACAAGCCTGGGTCTCTGCCTCCAGGGGCCTCACAGTCCGGGGGAAAAGTCACACGCAAAAAGCAGGACTAGACGGGTGAGAACGCTTCCTCATTTCCTCCACCCGCTGCCTGGCCCGCAGCAGCTCCATCTCACCATGGCTCGGCCACGGCCTCTGAGACAGGTGCCGGAATCGTCCCCATTTGCCAGCGTACTTTAGAGACGTGAGGACTCTGTCCCAGGTCGCAGCTGACACGCGGCAAAGCCACGGAGTCCGCACTCTCAACCCCACGCCGCGTCCACGGTTTAAATTGCAGTAGCTTAAAGACTGAATCCTGAAGAACAGAAATGTGAGATGCACAGTAAGAAGACAGTAACTCGTGTGCCTAGAAGGTGCAGAGGCAGAGTGTGACGGAGTCGGCTGAGAGTGAGAAGGAGCTGCGGCGGAGGGAGACGGGAGGAACCATCAGACGGGGGGCGGAGAGCAGAGAGCGCAGCATCAGTGAGCAGGGGACCAGACGTGCCCAGGGACCAGGATGTCACTGCACGTGGTCAGCGGGGATGAGAATTCAGAAAAGCTTTGGCTCTTAGGAGGCTATCAACATTCCAGGGAAGTTTTCGGAAGAGAACACAAGCAGAAGCCAGACTGCACCAGGTAAATTCTGAGTAACCATTTGTCTTGAAGTTGCGAATTCTAATAACAGAGTGGCCCGTCAGGCAGCACAGGCACGCTGAGGGAGCCAGGTGTGAGAAGCAGCAGGGCGTGGGGAGGTCTGTGGCAGGCTGGAGGCTAGTGTTGCCTGGTCCTCTGATTTTCCAAAAGAAGCTAGAAATTCAGAATTCCTGTGTGATGTCTCCTGATCTCTAAATATTAGTTCAATTTTTTTTTTTAATAAAATACAGTTGAGGGCTGACTCTCGTACATCTGTGGGCTGACTTGGGCCTACTAGCTAGGATGTTCTGGAATCCTCTTTCCAGAAGGTCAGGTGTGAAATGAGAAGCATCTCAAAGAAGCAGCAGGGTTGGGATGTTTGGGATTGTAACAAACTCACTAAGGAGGAGGATTCGCTGGAGAGAGAGAGAGAGGCCGAAAATATCAGAGCGCTATCTGGCAAAGGACAGTGCCAGCGAGAGTGGGAAGAATGGGATAAAGAGGCCGATTATAGAAAGAAGAGAAGATGCAAACAGATGGAGTGATAGGACAGTGAAGGGAAGGGGTGAAGGGAGCCCACCTTCAGGTTCGAGGACATGCTGTCTGCCAAGTGGGGTGTGAAAAGGAGCCTGGGAGCCAGAGAGGGACCTGGAAAAGTTTTGTGATAGCTTCTTAGGGCAGTGGCAAGAGCGTGGGGTGATTAGAACTGTGGAGGACCAGCAGCACCCAGCTGACTTTCCTTATCCTTCACTTATCAAGGGAGCATCTGTGTTTGTGATATGACCAGGTGATGCAAATGCACTAGAAAACACGGATTAGAATAAGACTCAGCTGCTGCCTCCAAGGGCCCATGGTCTCGCTGTGGTCTCTGGCTCTAACCTGAACTGGTGGGCTCGTTTCCCACATTTCATTCATTCACTTGCTACACTCGTCACTTTGCCGTATCTGTGGATTATCTGTGGTATTATTAGCTCAATAGTTCTTTTTAACCATCTCTTATTTTATATATAAAAATAGGAAAACAAATGAAAGATAGAAGAATGAAGCCATATATCATTCCTTGTACTGTTATATTTTATTTTTCCAAATATGCATTTTTTTTTAAAGATTGGCACCTGAGCTAACAACTGTTGCCAATCTTTTTTTTTTTCTGCTTTATCTCCGCCCCCCATACATAGTTGTATATCTTAGTTGCAAGTCCTTCCAGTTGTGGGATGTGGGACGCCGCTTCAACGTGGCCTGACGAGCGGTGCCATGTCCGCGCCCAGGATCCGAACCCTGGGCCGCAGCAGCGGAGCTCACGAACTCAACCACTCGGCCATGGAGCCGGCCCCCAAATATGCACTTTTAAAACATACAAAACTTGTTTGACATTTTGTTAAAAGTTCATCTCCATGCCACCTACAGTAATCTTGTCTGTCACCAGTGGAGCATACACCATGTGTTGGGAAAGATGGAGCTGGTTACTTGGTAGAGTTCTTCAGGTCATTCAAAGCAAGAATTTTTCCATGTTGGAATAACTCTGCATGGCCTTAGTTTTTTACTCAAACAGGTCAGCTTTGGTGGCCTGATCCTGAATAAAATGGATAAAGGCAGGCACCTCTTTGTCTGACAATTTTAAAGTGATGCTATTGGAATACCAAGAAGTTTGGAGCTTGACTGCAGAGCCTTCCAAATTAATCTAGTCTGGAAAACAACTAAAACACTGGCAAGGAACAGGAGATGTGTCAGCTGCCCTGCTCGCACTGTTCATATAAAGCATAAAGGTGTGCAGATTATACATGAAAGGTCAGTTCAGCAGAAAAGAAAACATGCCCGACAGTCTCGGGACATGGGAACGGAGGATGGAAGTTGGAGATGCCTCTCGGAGCCCTGGAAGGAGAGGCGCTGGGTGGCAAAGTGCAAATATCATCGCATTTCTGTGGCTGCTGCTTTGTGCTGTGTCTCCAAAATTTGATTGACAAGCCACCGAAAGGCCTGTCTTCCTGAGGAGGATTGACCTGGAAGCAGTTGTACCTTTTTTTTTTAAAGAGCGATCTGAAGGGGAAATGTGCCTCCTTTCCCCTATTTCCCAATCTCACCCAGGCCACCCCAAACCAAAGCTCTAAATGGAAAAAGCGGGGTGCCGAGTCCTCACGCAGGAGCCGGGGTGCGTCATCATGAATGATGGGGAGCCCAGCAGCTACCGCGTGGCTTGTGCAGGCAGCGTGCTCTGAGCTCCATGTGGGTGGGACCTGCTGTGGGTCACCCTGCCGTCTGGGAAAACATTCCACCCCTGGGGGCACAGCAGATTCTGGGGGTGTGGCGTCAGGCCACGGGGGCCACAGGGCTGTGATGTCAGAGTTGTGGGGTGTCTTGCAGATTTCCAGCGTCTGCAGTGCTGGGAATTTTCAGCCTATTACATCTGTCATCTGTGTTGTAAATGCAGGAAATCTCATCACTCCTTAAATATCATCATTCTATCCAAGTAGCTTGTAACATACATCATACTCCTTATTGCTTTATGCTGGAGCAGATTATAAACTCACATAAACATGCATTCGAGAGAGGCCTTCTGTTTGCTGTGAGCTCTTTCCCCAGCCTTGTGAATAACCGAGGCCAGAGGCTTGTCACGCAGCATTGTGGGCCAGTAGCCAAGGATGGCCATTGATGCTTGCCCACAGTGTTTTTGGTTTTATCTTCCCCAAGTGTTCTTTTCTGACTGCTTTCATCTCTCTCCTAAGCCTCCCCATTAACCCTCGTGCTAAATATGCAGTTTCATTACTGTTAGAAACCTAAAGATTGAAAGCTAAAGAAAAATCAGTGGCATTACAAAGCATATTCTGGTGATCTTAAAAATCACTTCAGGGGCTGGCCCCGTGGCTGAGTGGTTAAGTTCGCGCTCTCTGCTTGGGAGGCCCAGGGTTTCACCGGTTCGAATCCTGGGTACAGACATGGCACCGCTCATCAGGCCACACTGAGGCAGCGTCCCACATGCCACAGCTAGAAGGACCCACAACTAAAAGTATGCAACTATGTGCTGGGTGCTTTGGGAGAAAAAGGAAAAATAAAATCTTAAAAAAAAAAATATTGCTTCAGTATCAGCAGATATGTTTCAGGGTGCTTCTGGGGTTGTGGGCTCACAGTGTAATCTCTGCAGCTTGCATTGCTGAAATCCAGGTGGACCTATGACCAAATTTGCCACCCCCGCCAAGTTAGATATAATTCTCTTCCCCACTCAGCTTCATTAATTAAATCATTGACTCTGGCTTGCTGGTAAGGACCAATTTTTACAAGTGTCTCTGATTTCCTGCTAATGGTAACTTTCATTCTTCCTGGAATAGCAGGAAACATTAATTTTGCATTGGACCCAGGAGTCTCAGGGAGCTGGAATTATAGGCACCATCATCCCACCCTTTTCCCCCTCAAAATAAAATGAAATGAAATGAGCAGCAGCCCAGTGGTGAGGCTTGAGGGATGGGTAATGACAAACAAGAGAAAGGGCATTAATTTCAGGATGGGGACAGCTGCCCTGCACTGTCTCCCTTTGGATTTGGGTTCCTCCAGCATCACGGTGAGTTATTAATATGTATGACCTGTACTTTATTCAAACATTATAAATCTATGCAGAAGTCTGGTGTTTGGGTTTTCCTTTATCGCTTTCATTCTTCTTTCCAGAATTATCTCATTTTGATCGGGAAACTTTTGCATAAAAAGCACACACGGAGAACTCACATTTCCATACCATAAATATTAAAAGGGGGTTAAGCTTTACAGTTTCTTCTCGCATCCCAACGGGAGGAAAGCTAGCCTTCTAATCAGAGGGCCATTATTAATGTGCTTTTTATTCGCAAGCCAAAAGGTAAACTTGAACTTGCGGTGTGAAATTGTACCATGTCACTCCTTTCATTTACTGCATGTAAATTGTGGAACGTTGGCTCTGCTACTTCTTTTGTACGAAGGATTTACTAAAAATGTCTCCGTTATCTGAGTTGTTAAGAATAGTTGGTGGGCTTATTTTTTTGGACCACACCAAGTCCCGATCTTTTTTGGGCATTATGATTAAAGTGCTTTTTGCTGGATAATTATAAAGTATGGATTCATCACAGTGAGTCTGATGAGGGAAATGGATAAAGAAAACTTAATGTATGAGTAGCTTTTTAGCTTCTTAGCAGCTTCCTATGTCCTGTTTATCGTCATTTTTGTGAGCATAAAGGAGTAGTCGTACATTTTGGTTCCCATGGAAATACAGAGGGATGCACTTGCTGTCCCGTTTGGTGCTCTGTCTGCTCATCACACGGGATCGGAGGGGGGAGTTCATGATGGGAAATGAGCATGCTAATTGGTGCTCTTTTTTCCTATTTCAGGAAACCTGCCGTATGAATATAAAATAGTGATTGCTGGGAATCATGAACTGACGTTTGATAAGGAATTCATGGCGGACCTCGTGAAACAGGACTACTACCGGTTCCCCTCCGTATCCAAGTTGAAACCAGAGGACTTTGACAACGTGCAGTCCCTCCTGACAAACAGTATTTACCTACAAGACTCGGAGGTGACGGTGAAGGGGTTCAGGATATACGGTGCTCCGTGGTAAGTGCTCGTCCCACCGCTTCCCTCCTCTTTCTAGCTCAGCACTAAGAAGGCTGAGCAGACTGGGGGGTTTGCAGTGAAAGGAGAAGGGTGGGAGGAGCCTGGTTGCTGTATTTCCAACATAACCCACATCTGGCCCGGCTGAAAAGCACGGGGGTGTGCTGTGTTCGTTGAGATGCTGATTTCTTGAGGGGAGCTCAGCGGGAGCAGGGCTATGGCGGGGAGGCTGTTCATGTGACATGGCTGCAAGCGTGCCTGGGACACAGAAGGATTTGGGGCAGGTCACCACGTTACCCTCATGCAGACTCGGCTGCTCTGAACATCGCATTGGCCCTGGTCACTCGGTTCCCTCCCATTTCCACGGCAGCAGTCATGACGTATCTTGCTTCGATTAGGGTTCCTCAAATATTGTTACGCATCAGAACTGCTTGACCAGTCCTGAGGGGACACAGAGTTTGAAGCCATACTCCCTGAGACTGTGGCTCTGCTTCTGGGGTGGAGGCCAGCGCTGCGTGTTTGTAATGGTAACTTTCATTCATTCAGACGAGCCTGAGGCGCAGACCGTGTGGAAGTCAGCGGGCGAGAGCTCGGGAGGATTCTCCGCGCTGAGTTCTGGGAGAGTTGAGGCAGGTGCCTATTCTTTGGGGCCAGACAGGCAGCTTTTTGCTCTTGGCTCTACCAGTTGTTGGTTGTCTGGTTTTGAAGAGGATGAGCTTCGGTTTCTGCCTAAGATGACGAAAGTAATCCCTACTTTAGAGGGCTAGTAAATGTGGAGGGTTCAACTAGTGACGTTTGCAGTGGACTGAGGAGAGGGCTGGCGGTTTGCTGAGGACCGGGACTCCTGTCTTTGGCCCTGGCTCTGCCGCTCAGGGTTTCTGTGAACATGACGAGTCCCTTAGCCCCCAGGCCAGTTTTCCCATCTTTAGCGTGGGAGTGTTAGACGAGAAGATCAATAGCAGAGGAGTCTTGGATGGGTTGATTGATTGACTTTTCGAGAGCTCTGTGTATATAGAGCAGAGCCAGCCTTTGCTCACCCACCCTGGGAAAGGGTCCCAGACCTGCCCCAGGAATTGCTGGCAGAGGACAGACAGGGAGTGCAGCCTGGCCAGCCCACCCAGCAGTGTGGCTTGTCCTCTGTAGAATAGAAAGTTGAGATATTTTCTGTAACTTTTTTTCATCTTCACTGGTTAGTATCCAGAAGGACTGATGAGTTGTCCAGGAAGTATATTTCTGTTTAAAATCAACCTGGCAACAATTATGAACTCTTGAGTGCTTAATATATGCCAGGCACTGTTCTAAGTCCTTTCTGTCTATCTCATTTTCTTCAAAATACCTTTAAGAGATGGGCACTCTTATGATTCCCACTTGGCAGATGAGAAAACTAAGGCACAGAAAGGTTAAGTCACTGCTTGGGAGTCACACAGAGGCTAAGTGGCGGCGTCCTAATTGGAGTCGAGTGCAGGGGACCTGGTGGGGTTGACGGGTGGTGGTGGCTACAGTCTGCAGTGGTTAATCCACTTTATTAATGTTCCTCAACTCATTGTTTTATATGTGAGATGGTGGTAAGGGCAGGGGATTAAACAGCAGAAATCAGTCCTGTCAAACAGGAGTCTGAGAACTGATCCCGGGGTAATGTAGGATGTCGATACAGTCATCCCCCCTTAACCACGGGGGGCATGTTCCACGACTCCCCATGCACGCCTGGAACCACGGATAGCACGGAACCCTACAGAGACTGCGTTTCTCCTACACATACGTACCTCTGATGAAGTCTAATTTATAAACTAGGCAGTAAGAGGTTAACAACGTCTCTAATAATAAAACAAAAATTATAACAATATGCCGTATAGAAGTTCTGTGACTCTCTCCCTCTCGATCTTCCCGTACTGCCCCCCTCCTGTACTGTCCTCTCATTGTACGACACGATGGGGTGGAGTGAGTGAAGGACCCAGGCCTTGTGACGAGCGTTGTTTGCAGACCACGGTTGACCACGCGTAACTGAAACCGCGGATGAGAGGGGAGACTGTGTCAGCTTTTCTGTAAAGGATGGGAGGGAGAGCTCTTCCAGCGTCACAGCTCACTTCGTAATGACGGTGCGCTAGTTGAGGATGACTCTGATGGGCAGAGAAGCTCCACGTGGAGTCAAGGTCACTTTGTCAGTAACTTAAGATGATTTTTGAAAAATCCTTGAAGGGCACAGCACATTTCGGGCCCTTCCTGAACGGGCAGGACGGTCAGAGATGGTCGGATGCTTGCTGAGATGCTGACAGCAACCAGCCTCTTCCCTTCTCTGCTCAGGGTCAGCTCTGCTTAGGACAGGGTTTAGCTAAACCAGAAGACGGCCGTGATGCGTGAGGGGGCGATTTTGGGTCCTGAGGCAGATCTTGCAGCATCTCAAGAAATAAAAAGACGTAGTAATTCAAATATGTGATGGGACGGGACTAACCTGTTTTTGGTGGTGGTACAAACTTTATGTCTGAGCTGAATTGATACCATTCAAAAATTTCCTATTTTAATATTTAGTATTTTATGTTAAGAAAAATAGGCAGCATTAGTCTTCTGAAATGTTATCCTGAAGTTGTCTTTATGCATAATTTGTTGGGACTTCCGCAAAATTTGAACTCTTTCCCGCCAGCCCCTCTCTGCAATGAGGGAGGTCTTGAAAGGGATTTTTGGCTCATCCCTAGGCCTTGGTGGTGGTTGTCTTTTGACCAAGAAGATAGAAGTTGATGACGAGGAACTTCCAGTTTCGTGATATATTTTGGAGGCATCAGTAGTTGGGATCGCACTGGGAAGATATGTTGTGAAAATTAATATTCCCAGACTGCTGATAACCAGAGCAGACTCAGGAGTGCCCACGTGCGCATTTCTGGCTGGGAGGGCAAGTTCTGCCAGCTTCACCGCTTGCTCAGCCCTGGAGCCTCGGGCGGGTTTCTCGACATCTCCCTCCGCCCCGCTGTCTTCTCGTCTCTAGAGGGGGAGACAGTGACGTTTCTTCCCTCTCGTGCTCGTGATGGGGACAAATGAGTCAGAGCATCTGTGGTACGCGGAGCCAGCACTTGACAGTGTCCGCTCTTACGGATGTGGTGGGGCTGGGGTTCAATCCACTTTACACTTGTGTCCACCCTCACGAGAAGACTGTGCACGGGCAGGAGGGTCGATGCGGTGGTTCCAGCCTGCGTTCAGCCTCCGCTGACTGTGGGACATTGGGCAAGTCACTTAGTGTCCCTGTTCCTAAACATAGGCCGTGAGGCCTGCCCTCGCCTCTCTCGTAGGCCACCCACTTAAATGGTCACAGTCAGAATCTTCAGAGTACACCTGTTTGCTGGCATGCTTGATTATTTTGGTATCTCGTACAATTTTTAACCTCTTTCCCTATTGAGAATTTGACTTACAAGCAAAGTTTGGGAGATTTCTTCCAGAATTCCCACTTTCCTCTCTTTAGGAGTCAGGTTTCTCCCTCCCTGCGTTTCACCCACAGGTGAACCTGCCTGGGAACCCATGAGATACTCCAGCCCCAAATAATGTGAACTGATTTAACGTGATTTCCATGCTCTTCCAATGACTTTTCTGGAGGAAATATTAAGTTCTGATTTGCTGAGATTGCTACTGGTTTTAATTTAAAACCAGAAATCAGAATGAGAACCTTGATGCTAAGGATTTCCGTCCTGTCGTAGGTTTCTCAAAAGTAATTGCTGTCCGACCAGGAAGAGAACTCTAACTCAGGTCCTTAAAAAAGGCAGACTGTGACTTGGTTTCGCTCTCAAAGAGGAATATTAGTCCATATTCAGCACGCATTTAAAACTCGTAGCACAGCTGAAGGCTTCCTAAAGACCGGGGAGCATTCCAGCCGTGTCTCCTAATTTACAGCTTAGCAGGAATTTGTGTGTGGAGAATAACTTCCAGTCCTCCTGCGCACTAGCGTGTTTGCAGCCGGAGTGCGATGCGGGGTACACAAGATTGCAAGGAAGGGGACTGGGGTGTGGGGTGATGGGTCTCAGAAAACTCAGCGGTCTCCACTGAGAGAGTTGAAAGTGGGGTGCCTTGTCCTGGGAGAAAGGTGCTCCCTTGGAAGGGGACAGGAACTGACGACGTCCTGGGGGCCCCCCCCCCCAGGAGGCCCATGGCAGATTCTGTGGCTTCTGTATACATTCCTTCACCATCTCATTCTTCCAAGAATCTTGAAGAAAGGAATCAGGCATGACATGTTGTCATCTTCGGAGTCACAGTTCAGTCACAACTTTGTCTTAACTCCTTCTGTTTTTCTCCCTCTTTGGGGACAGGAGAAGAGAGTCTTGTGTTGTCAGGCAGCTGGGTCTGCCCGGGACTTCGCTGTCACAACAGGAAAGCTCGTGCATTTTTGACATCCCTTGCTTGGATTGTCTGCCACCGAGATGCTGCCTCATTTCCTCTTGTGATCACTCTTGGCTCTACAATGTCGTTTCCAAAGTCTGAGTGCCTTTAGAGAGAGACAGAACTCTGCTCTGTCAGATCTTAGCCGCTGTGCTGACTGCTTGTCTGGCGGGTGGAGGCGTGGCTGGGGGTTTGAAATCGTCTTTGCATTTTTGGTTACTGCGTCTGTAGCCAGCACTTCAGTGCGAGTGGGTTTCGGTAAACTCACTCGTGGGCCTTGGCATTTAAAGTCTACTGGCCCATTCTCTTTTCTGATACCAGTTGCTCTTTTGATACTAAGGTGCTGTGTCGAAAAACATGCAGGTAGTAAGGAAGGGCTCAGCTGTACGAGGTCAGAAGTCCACCTTACTCGGCCTGAGCAGAGCAGTCGTGTGGTTCAGCCGAGGCCTGCATCCTTCCCTCTGGGATAGACACGCAGAGCTGGGCTTCCACGGCTTTCAGTGAATGTGAATGGGGCTTTCTGATGTCCAGGAATTCGATCTCCACGCTGACTAAGGGGCCAGGAACAGAGAGCGCACGTCTGCACGTTAGAGCAGATCCAGGTGTAATTCGGCAGATTTAGTAGCTGTGCAGGAGCGGCCTCAACT